TGAGCTGCCAACAGCCTGCCTTCAGGTCCTGCTCTGTCACCTGGCCTGTGACGCAGCCAACTCCCACTTCCCCATCGCGACCGTGCAACACTGCTGGCCGCGCCTCGTTACCGCTTTCACTTTAATAATCGATGGTCCCTGAGATAAATACAAAATGAGACAAGGTGTCTTTATTTGCCGTTACGCCTGCCCTCCCAGGCTCTGGCTTCCCATGTAGAGTCACATTTCCTTTTATTGTTTTTTCTGACCTGACAAGCTTCTTTTAATGCTTCTTGGGGTGCACAGCTGGTGGGGGCAGAGTTAGCTTCTTTGTCTAAAATAAATCTTTGAAAAAAAAATAAATCTTTGTTTTTCTTCTGTTCTTGAAATATATTTCCACTGGGTATAAAATTCTGGTTGAAGGTTTTTTTTTTCCCCTTTCTCTTGGCACTTCGCAGATGTCACTGTGGCATGTCTGGGCCTGGCTTCCATGGCTCCTACGGAAGGCGCGGTGTCCCTCGTGGTTCCTTCCATGGGGGCACGTGCTCCTCTGGCTGCTTCGAAAGTGTCCTCTTCACAGGCTCCCTGCAGTTCTGAAAACCATGTTTTAGGCTCTTAATTTTAATATTTGATCTGCTTGGGACTTAATGAAATTCTTAATGGAGCTCTCAGTTTTTAATTGCATAAAATTTGGATACTTTTGGTCCTTTTTTCTTGAAATTCTCTTCATTCCTGTCTTGTGGCTCCATGTGTGCCGGGTCGCTGGGTGTCACCCAGAGGCCCCCATGCTTTGCTCAGACACATTCCCCTTTGCCCGGCAGGACGGCACCTGTGGCCGATCCCACACAATGGAAGCGTGCTGTGGATGTCTCCCTTTGGGTCCTCTCTGTCCTTACCCAGTAGGCGCACCCCTTTATGTCCTTCAGCAGTTTTGCAGCTTCAGCAAACGCTTTTCTCCCCTTGTTATGTCCTTTCTGTTGTTTCTGGGTCTGATTTTATGTTGGCTGTTTTTTCTTACGGTTGCAGTCTCGTGTCCTGCTTCTTCACATGTCCAGTAAGTTTTCATCATGAATTTTGAGTGCTTTGGTGCTGGGTTTGGTTGTTTTACCCGAGGAGGTTTACACTTTGTCCCAGGGCAGTAAGCTTGTGTGTGGGTCACTGTGATCTAGGGCTCGTGTTAAAAATCGTTCAGGGCACCTCTGAGTAGCTGCTGCCCGGGGACTCACTGCCCCCACTCCTGAGGCGTGGCACTGTGTGGTCACTGCTGGATGCTGTGGGTGCTCGCTCCACTCCTGTCCCCCTCCCGTGTGACTTCCACGGCTCATACTGACCCTGGGGGGAAGGAGGTGGCCCCCGCTCCCTGGGCCGAGGGGCATCTCTCCCCATGCAGACAGACATGTATGGCCAGAGACCAGGGGATTGGGGCAGCGTCCTCGAGCTCCTGGAGCCCCTTCTGCCTCATGGTCTAACCTCTGGCTCCTGCCCGCAGGGAGCTGCTGCACCTGCCAGGTCCCCGGGGTCCACCTCTGGCCCCAGCGGCCCCCGGGGCTGCTCCAGCCTGCCCACCTAGCTCTGCAGTCTGGACTTGTTCCTAGGAAACAACCTGGGGGGTCCTCTCCTGGGGCCTCCGGGGCTGCACCGGCTCATCCATGATCAGAACATTGTTTCCCATGTTTCTTGGTGTTTTCACTGTTCTCAGGGGAGGGTGCTCCTGGGCTCTGCTCCCTTACGACAGGCACTCTGCTTTGTTATTCCAGGAGAGGTTGGCTTATTTTTTTAGTTTTAATTTCTGTTTTCTGTTGGCTGGCACATGCCCCTGACCTGAGAGTCCCCCTGCGGGACCCACAGCTGACCCGCTGCTGACCCAGTGACCTCTTCTGTCTTCCTTCTGTTTCTCCTCTGCCTCCCATGCTGCTGGCCACCCCTCCCTCCCCATCACACCCACAGGACATCTGGTGTCCTCCCTCTCCCTCTGCTGGTGCGTGTTCACCCTCCTACAGCCCGGCCACCTATTTCCCCGTGTCCTCCCACCCTCGCCCTGCATTGGTCCCCTGGGCTGGGTGCAGAGGCCCTGCTGTGCTCCTGTGGTTACCTGTCACTGCCTGCCCCAACTGAAGGGCACACACAGTCCAGGTGAGCCTGTACCCCTGGCCACCCCCATCCCTGGCAGCCCCAGCAGCGTGTTTGTGGACGTGGGCAACTGTCAGGTCTCCAGAAGCTCCTCTGTACCCATGTGTCTTTGTTGTAGTAAAGAAGAGGTTAAGCTGCCCCCACGGTGACTTGGAGCCTCTGTCTCCCCCTGCAGTGGCCAGGGCAGCTCTGCTCCACGGGGCCCTCCCTGGGGTGGGGGCTCCCCTCAGCTGTGCCCTTCCCGGGTGGTTCCCCCAGGTCGGATATCAAGCTGCAGGGCATCCCAGCAGGGAAGAGAGGTGAGATGCAGCCCCAGGCTCACAGCTTCCTTGTAAGAGCACGAGAGGGAGAGAGGGAAGCTCTCACTGCCGTGGGGTAAGGGGTGTTCGGTGTGGGCGGGATTCCGTCCTGAGGTCCCTCTGGCTGCCGGGGTGTGTCCGAGCCGCGTGGCCAGGTGTGAGGACCAAGGAGAGACTGGCTTTTAGGGAGACAGGCCTCAGCGGGCATCTGGCATTCCTGGGTATTGCCACCCCTGAGGTGGGAGCCCCCACGGCCTCCCCCAGACCTCTGGATGGTGGGCTTACTGTCCTTGCTGCTGGGCTGGGACATTTGTACCCCCCCAAAATCCCGGGGATCTGCAGTAGCTCCCAAGGCAGCCGGCTGACAGCTGCCCCACACCCCCTGTCCTGCCCCGGTTTCCACACCTGCCCACGATATGTCCCGTGTGCATCAAACCCCAAGGGGGTGGTGGCGTCGGTGTCATAGGCAGCTATCCCTGCTGCTATCACCAGGTGGGCACACCCACGCAGGCTGCTTTCAGGCATTTTCCCACTTTGGCTGGCCCCCCCGGCCCCCCAGTTCATAGGGGCCTGCTCCCCCTGAGGACTCTGCACAGCCTGGCGCTGGAACAGGGCCTGGGGAGCTGCATCTGTGTCTCTCCTACTGAGACCGTCAGCCGCCCTGCCCTGCGGGATGTGGCTCTCCACCTTTGTACAGGCTGCTGTCCCGGCCCCACCCCTGCCCTTTTCTGGGCTCCCACTGCCTCTATGTCTCTGAGCTTGGCTGCCTCACCCCTGGACTGGGGACAGAATGTCTCGGAGCCAATAAGCCAGTGTCATCTGGAAAGATGCACAGCCCATGGGGTCAGGAGTAGACAGGGCGCTGGTGGGTGCCAGGGCTTGGCATGGCCACTGGAGGGCTGGCCGGTGGGGGGGAGCCGGTGGATGGGCTTCGGGAGAGGTCCAGAGGCTTGGAGAAGGGATGGTGGATGGTGTGTGCCCCTGTGTAAATGGCTTCTGGAATCATCTACACATGGACGTGGAGAATAGGATAGATTCTTGGAGCCAAGTATTTCCTCCTGTCGCTTTCTTTATTTTTTATTTTATTTTATTTATTTATTCACGAGAGACACACAGAGAGAGAGGCAGAGACACAGGCAGAGGGAGGAGCAGGCTCCATGCAGGGAGCCCGACGTGGGACTCGATCCCGGGTCTCCAGGATCACGCCCTGGGCCAAAGGCGGCACCAAACTGCTGAGCCACCTGGGCTGCCCTCTCCTCTCGCTTTCTAATGAGGCAAGAGGCCGGGAGCCGGGGCCGAGCCCCTACGTGTGTGTGTGTGTGTCCTGTAGAAAAACTCACACCGGGCTCCCTGTTACAGGGGCAAGGGCTGCGAGGCTGCCCAGCCCGGGGTGGGGGCCCAGAGGCCACAGCTCCCCACTCCCATCCGGGCTGCCGCCCACTCTGCCTCTGTTTCGTCAGAGTGCACCTCCTGACCCTTGTCATCACGGACACATCCCTGTTGATTGCCGGACGACCTGCCCAGGTCTGGCCCATCCAGGCTGAGGCACCAGCTGGCCTGGGGCTGCGGGGTGGGCAGTGTAGACATGCATGTGAGTCCTTCCTCTTGGCGGCCTCGTTGTGGGAAGGGGCCTGTGTGTTCTGTTGGTGGCCAGTGACACCCCTTGCACATTCTGAGAATGAAGCCACCGTGAGCGTCTTACACCAGCTTCTTGTAGGCCTGTTCAGGCCTCTGGGTGGATACCTAGGGGGTGGGCAGGGCCTCGGGGTGGGCTGGGCCTGGGGTGGGGCAGGGCCATGGGGTGGGCTGGGCCACCGGGCAGGGAGGGCCTCATCCTTTAAGGGAGGCAGACCTTGCCGCAGTGGCCACAGTGTGTGACCTTCTTGGCCCTCCAGCGGTTGGTGGTGTCCACACAACATTCAGTAGAGTTTTTAAATTGAGTGAAGCTCTGCACACATAAAATTCACCATGTTATCCATCTTAAAATGCACACTTCAGTGGTTTTTAGTATCTGCAACAGTGTGTGCAGCCATCACTGAATAACCCAGAACATTCTGTTAGAGGTCATCCTGTCCCCTGGCCACACGGATCTGCTCTCTATCCCTGTGGGTCTGGACCCTGCGTGTCCGCGGGACCCCATGGCACGAGGCCCCACCTGCTTCCTTCACTGCAGGTTTTAGAGGTTTAGCTGCGTCGTTTGTGACTGCCTGTTCCTGGGTGCGGCCGAGCACACTCATCGCCGGCACGGACCCCACTTCAGCATCAGTTGCTGGGTTGGTGGTTTCTGTTCTGTGACTCGTGAATCTGTAGTGACTGTGCACGTGCGTGTGCAGTGCTCACATGGGCCTGGATCCTTGTTTCTCTCAAGTGCACCCAGCCCGGAGGCCCAGGGGTGGTTGGCCTGCCGGCACCCCGGGGTGGGCTTATCCTAGGGCCACCCCCATGCTTTCTTCCCTCTCCTCTGGCTCTGAGTGTCCCGGGGCGGGCTGGGCATTCATCCCTGACACTCTGGGTGACCCCAAGCGAGGATGGTGTGACTGCCTGGGGCAGGCAGCTCTGTGACCATGTGTGTTCCCCTCTCCTGTCTCCCAGCCATGCAGGCAGACCCAAGTGACCTCCAGGAGCTGTTCCAGGAGATGTCAGCCAGCATCTTTCAAATCAATTCCAGCGGTGAGTCTGTGCCAGACCCGTTGTCACCCCCACTGGACCTGGCCGTCTCGAGCCACTGACATTGCAGGCAGTCAAGGTGACACGGGGTGGTGGGCGTGCCCGCGGCCTTCCCCTGACTCGGCCACCTGCAGCCCAGGCCCTGCTTTCTGTCCCAGGAGAGCATGGGCTGAGTGCTGTGGTCTCAGGGCAGGGCAGGGCAGGCCCGTGTGTCCCCTCTTGCTGGCAGCTGTTGCTCTTGTGTGCCCCGTGCAATCTGGACAAGCCCCCGCCGGGAAGGGGTGCCTCACCCGGGCAGCATAGGCTGACAGGGCTCTGGGGCTGGGATCAGGAGCGAGATGCACACCTCTCGGGGCCGTCAGGCCTCATCCTCAGCTCCTGCAGATTTGGGGTTGTGGGGTGGCTCGCGTCACGCACCCTGGACACAAGGGTTGGTCTTTCCCCTGATCCCTGAGCTTTGCCAGGTCAGTAAGAGAAAAGCCCCCTCTCCAGACCACGGGTGAGGCCCCTAGGGGCGGCTCCTGAGAGCTGGGAGCCTGTGGGCCTGGCCTGAATGGCTGGGGAGAGGGCCCTGCTGGCAGGAGGGCTCTGCTGGGTGTGATGACGGGGTGTGGGGCAGGGCTGGGCCATGACAGCAGCAGTCCTGGCTCTGGCAGCCCACGGTCACTGAGTGGGCTCCCTGGCCTTGGCCCCATGCCCTTGGGCTCCCTGGCCTGCCTCTGCTGAGGGTGGGGGTGCCCCCTGGAGGCGGGATTACCTGGTGGAGGTCCTTCTCCTTACACCTGTCCCTTTCTCTTGGCAGTGAGCTCCTTGGAGCAGAGCCTCCGGTCCTTGGGGACACCGAGTGACACGCAAGAGCTGAGGGAGAGCCTGTGAGTGTGTGATCATGTGCGTGCCCATGGGTGTGCACAGGTGCGCCTGCACCCACTTGCATGCCTGCCTGTGCACATACCAGCCCAACACCTGCCTCGACCACACACACACCCCACATACCTGAGATTTGGCCAGCTTGTGCTTGGAGTCTCAGGCTGAGCTCACACCCGGGCTCCACCCTCCATGGGGCACACAGGTGTGCCTGCGCCCACGCCATGTGGAAGCCCAGGTGTGCCTGCTACACCTGTACACACACACACATGCACGCAGGGTGCACTCAGGTGGCAGGCATGCATCTGCTTGTATGTTTTTGTATGTTGGCCCACATGTGTGTCACACAGCAGAGCTCACTGATGGGGCCCACACACTTGTGAACACCCCTGGGGACAAACCGTGTGACACACATAGCGGACACACAGACTAGCTTGGAGTGGGGCTTCGTGGTTTTGATTGTGCCCCTATGGGATCCTGTTGGGCTTTGCTTTTGGGGTTGCCTGGAGGCCTGCCCTGGGTTGGATTGGGTGAAGCAGCCAACTAGGATGAGGTGGTGCTCCTCACAGAGCGGCTTCTCGGGTGCCGGGTCGCTGGGGATGAAGAAAGGCGATCTCTGCAGGGGGCTGGCCTGGCAGGCATGGGGCAGGGGGCAGCTCCGTTCCTGGCCTGCCACCCTGGGCCTGGTGACACCTCCTGAGAATACCACGTGATGCCTGCATGGGTGTGGGCATGGAGGGGGCAGGGGGCTCTGAGGAGGAGCTGGAGACCTGCACTTAAGCCCTTGTTCCCTTTGCCACCGCCTTGCCAGGGGACCCCGGGTTGATGATGGAGCCTGAGCATCCTGCCAGGGAGAGACGATAGTATGGGGTGGTGGACTAGACGTGCCCTGAGAAGTGTGGGCTGTGGCCAAGACCACCTGTCTCTTCTTGGTATTGTCGTCGGCCATACTCCCTCTCCATCTGTTTATCCATCACTGTGTCCATCTGTGTGTGTACCCATCCACTCACCCAGCTACCATCCATACTTCTCACCCACATACCCACCCACCCACATGTTCATTCCCCCATCCACCCACCCACTTACCCACCCAGACGCATTCATTCCCTACCCATACACCCACCACCCGACCATCTGCCCACCAGCTACCTACCCCTCTACCTTTCCAGCCACAACTTACCCACCCACCCACCCACACGTTCATTCCCCACCCATACACCCACCCACCCGTCCATCTGCCCACCCACTACCTACCCCTCTACCTGTCCAGCCACCACCTACCCACCTGGCTACCCACTCATGGGTTGGCTCACCCATCCATGTACTCACCCAGCTAGCCATCTGTCCACCTTTCTTCCTGTCCATCCCTACAGGCTCACTGGGACCGCTTCTGCCGAGTTGGGGTGGGGGCGGTTCAGAGCTTAAGGCAACTGAGGGCCCTTTGCAGATTTTATGTGAAGTCCTGTTTTTAATTATTCTTTTTATTTCTTTTTTAAAAATAACATATTGTTTTCTGATTGTGGAAGTAGCATATGCTCATTATAGGAAATGTGGCCACACAGGATGTCTGAGGAGGTACTGTTAACATTTTGGTATTTCCTGCCAGCCTCTTCTCGAGTCCTTACGCATTTTGCAGAATTGGATTTTGGTGAATAATGTTCCGGATCCCGCATTTTACCATTAGGATTCTGGGGGCGGGGGGAGGTGGAGTGTGCCCTTATTACACACTAAAAACACGCTCTCCAGAGCTGCAGAGGACACTGTGGAATCTGGGTAATTATTGAGCTGAGACTCTGAGCCACATCTTCTGACTCTTCCCATTTCTTAGTATTAGGACCACCGAGATTCCCAGGAACAGAGCTGCGGTTGATCCTTCTTTTCGTGCCTGTTTCCAGGTTGGGTCCCCGGAGCGGTGTCCCCTGGGTCGCGTGGATGGCCTTGTCCGGGCCCGGCCCCGGAGCGTGTTTCCTGGGCCGCCTTGCCCAGTTGGCCGAAGGCTGTGGTCGCCTGCGTGGGTGTGGAGGGGAGAGCTGGCTCCTGCACCCTCCCTGCCGGGCACAGGGTGCGGCTGCTGCCCCCACTGCTGCCCCCTGGACCTCAGCTCTCAGATGCAGGCTCTCTGGCTTTAGTGCCTCCTGCCTGCCCGGAACCGGAACTGCATTCCCACCAGGGCTCCTCCGCACCCCGCGTCCTACCTCACCTTGCAGCTCACCGGGCTGCAGGCCTGGAGCCTCCCGGGACCCCACTGCTGGGATTTGTACATCTTGTGGACCGTTGGGATTTTTAAATGACTGAGGCCGACTAAGCTGCCAGCTCCGTGTTTTCTCCATGTTGATAGTCAGTGGCTTTTTTATTTTGCAAAGTAAGGACTAAAAAAAGTACGCTACCGTGTATTATTGCTCTCGTCTTATAGAAGGTAGAGGATGTTGCAGTAGGACAGAAGCGTGAGGGCTCTGATCTCGGGAGAGGGGAGGCTCCTTCAAGGTGATAGATCGAGCGACCTGAGAACCTCACAGACTGGAGCCTGGTTTTTCAATCACCTTGCACGAGACACGCATGGGCTTTGCCATTTCTGTCAGGACCATGAGGGGACCCTGCCTTGGGCACAGCGTCATAGGCTCCCAGGTCTCTGTCTCTGCGCAGCGAAGCTCAGTGGCAGCAGGAACCTTGTGTGTCCCGTGGGTGTCACCCGGTCCACCACTGAAGGGATGGATGGACATTCTGGGAGCGCCACATGACAAGTCTGCCTGTGGCCGGGGCCCCTCAGCCCTGGGACCCCGCTGTGGGACAGCCCTGGCTCCGGCCTGCAGGGCCCTGGGCACGGCTTCGGGCTGGTGGGCTGAGCCCGCCGCTGGCTGTAGTTGGCCTGTGCTCACGGCAGGCGGGGAGGCTCCGGAGCTGATGGGGAGAGCCCCCTGGCTCCTCTGGCGGGTGTGGGGCTGGACCCCCTGCCGCTCATGGTGGGCTTGGGTCCCACATGGTCCAAGTGCAGATGGGCCCTCCCCCATGTGGCTCTCACGTTGGCATCTGTGAAGGGGCCTGCGGGCTCCGGCCTCGCTGAGGCATGGGGGGGCCTGGGGTGCGGCGGGCTGGGTGCCCCAAACCAGGGTCAGTGTACCTTGAGGGGCAGGGGCAGAGGTGAGCCGGTGGCCCTGCCCGGGGCGTGCCCGCCTCCCACCTCTCACTTCCCCACCCTCGTACAGGGCATCTGTTCCTCCAATGGCCGCCTAATGCCACCGTCCTCCGAGCTGCCCTCAGCTCCCTCCACCAGGGGCACCCCGACTGCTGCATCCCCCTCCCGGAATCAGACAGCACCGAGGATGGTGTTCGGGTGCACATCTGGAGGGCCGTGAGGCAGGCGGCCCCTAGGGGTAAGCTGGCCACTCTGTGTCCGGCGCGGCCTGCTGCTTCTACTGCAGAGCCCGCCCCTCAGCGTGCCCCCCAAGCCCCAGGGGGCCTCCCCACCCTTCCCTCCTTCCTCCCTGGCACCCCACTGCCTGGAGCCCGGTGCCTGGGTCGGCTCGGCCCCAGAGCCGTGTACTGACAGGCTGTGCACCTGTGCAGGTGTGGTCACCGCCTGGCTGTGTGACATGCTGTGGAACCTGGGTGTCCTGATCTTTGACACACGGACCCACACCCTTTTGGGGGTGTCCTGTCGGAAGGAGGGAGCGAGGGCGGCTATGCCTGGTGCTGGACTTATTCCCACAGAGATCCCATCAGACCCGCAGCTGCAGCCAGAGGACGGCCGGAGCAGGGGTGTGGGAGGAGGGAGCCGCAGTGGGGAGTAGAGGGTGGCCTCAGGGTGGCAGTGCTTCCTGGGGAGTGGGGTGGCCACTCTGCTGCAGTCCCCACAGCTCCAGGGCCCCCGCATTGCTGGAGGGCACAGGGGCCGTGCCTGGGGGGTCTGGGCCGGGGAGGGAGCAGAGCCTGGACGGGAGCCTGTGTGGCGGTGCTCGCTGGTACGCTGGGTGTGCTGTGGGGCCTATGCCTGGACACGAGTGTGCGTGGGGGAGGAGCGGAGGGTGGTTGGAGCCCTGACCCGCCCTCGGGGCCGTGGCAGTGCCTCCTTGCCCTGGTACACGGCCCCCCCATCACAGGTGTGCAGGGCCACATTTGACTGTGGAGGCCTGGCCTTGTCCCGGAGCTGCCTGGGCGCCCCTATTCTTGCCCCAGCCCCGACAGTCCCCTGTCCCCCTGGTCTGTCAGGCTGGTGAGTCTTGTTCATAGAGGAGTCATCCGCCCTGGAGAGCAGAGGTGACCGCCCGGCGTCCTGCTCCCAGTGTGTGACCGAGGGGACGGTCTCCCCGGGGCTTTCTGACCGGTCCTCTCAGGTTTGTGGGGGACTACAGGTGCGTCTTCCTCCTCCACGGGTGTAGTCGAGGTGGTCCTGAGTGGGGGTGTGAGGGGTGACTGCTCGGCTTGCCCACTGCTGCCCAGGGTGCAGGGCCTCGGCCCCGGCGGGTAGGGGTAGGGCCCGGGGGTCTCCTGGCTGAGAGTGTGGCCTCCTCTCGGCTGGGATTCCTGCATCACGATCGGCTCCAAGGGGGTCAGGGAGGCCACGATCAGCTCATCCAGCGCCGCATGGGCCTGTGGCTCCCTGGGGGCTTTGTGCTCACGGCCCAGTGCTCCTCCCACGGAGGAGCTCCTGAGCCACCGGAGCTGCTCATTCCCCCGTCACGACTGCATGTGACACGGGGCACGATTTGCTTCAGAGCTGGGGTCAGGGGAGCGCATTTCTGTCCATGGTTGGAAGTCATCTGCAGTGCCATCGGCCCGTCACCTGGGCTGACCTGAGACCTGCTGCTGCCTCCTCGGTGCCGCCTCTGCCGGCCAAGTCAGAAAGCAGGCGGGGAGGGAGGCTCTCCTGGGGCCGTGGAGCGAGAGCAGAGCCGCGTGGGACCGCTTACCGGTGGGGGCGGGTGGTGGACGTGCTGTGCTCCTGTCCTCCTGGGCCCGGGGACGTTGTCAGGAGTTGGATGTGGTGTGCGGCCCCGTCTCTCGGGGAGCA